CACACTTAAGAGCAAAGAGGGCGAACCACAGCGGGGAGGCAGGTCAGGGCGCTGGGGCTGCTGGCGGTGTCACTCCCTGTCCCGGTGCCGGGGGGCTGGTGCAAGCAGAGGATGCCGTGACAGCCCCTAGTCAGTGACCCCCTCAGGACCCCCCCCCTCCACAGGGCTAGGAGCAGGGCCTGGACAGGTGGGATCTGGCAGCTGCAGGTGCAGGGGAATGGACCAATCAGCTGCGGATGCAGGGGGAGGCCCATCGGGACCTGGACCAATCAGGGCTCTTTCTGAGCTGCAGCATCTCCTTCGTGGCAATCCAGACATCGGCTCTTCTTTGAAAAATCCACCCGGACAGGGGCTCAAGAGAGAGGCAATGTCCAGAAAACCCTGAGGTGTGATCACCCTACCCAGGGGACCCCAGCATGCCACTCACGGCAGCTCCAGGCCTTTTCTCCCTTCTTGGGAATCAAGGTCACTTTGTTGCAGAGAGAGAAAGAAGCCGAACCCCCCACAGGTCTGACTCAATGTCACGATTTCCCAGTGTCTCCTTGGAAGAACCCAGTGTCTCTTTAGTCCCAGGTGAATGGAGTAATTCAGTTCCCCAGGGAGCCGTTCTGAGGCCTTTACGCTCGTTCCTTAAATTACGGTGCCACCGTGTGGCTCTTTCATTTCCCTCCTCCTCAATTTCAGACAGAAACAATTTTCTTTGCACAAGTCACTGAATAGCAAAAATCTCTCTGTGTCACCTCTCTGACCAAGGGCATTAAATTCCACTGAAAATTTCTCTCCTACAAGGCAAATAACAGATGGGACATGGCTACCTTCTGCCCTGAAAGTGGAATCATGATGTTCTTTCTTTCTTTCTTTCTTTCTTTCTTTTGCTGCTGTTATTTCATGGAGCATATGGGATGAAAGAAGAGGGTGACTTTACTCCAGGGTGGCAATCCCAGTTCCAAAGGAAAGCCTGGCCCTTGCATTTGGCATCCCTGATGTGCTGGAGATATGGCTGGGAAAGGGACTGTCTGAACGCCCAAGTTGGAGAATTGACAACTATCTACGGCGACATCACTAACCCCCAACACCCTCTAGTCATGCTCCGGACAGAAGGGAACTTTGCACGCCAAGAATTCTTATTCTTCATAGAATCCTAGAAGATCAGGGTTGGAAGAGACCTCAGGAGGTATCTACTCCAACCCCCTGCTCAAAGCAGGACCAATGCCACTAATAGACAGAGTGATGCTGCAAGGCAGCTGGGAATATCAATGGCTAGAAAGGAAAGGAGCCCTTGTGGCACCTTAGAGACTAGCCAATTTATTTGAGCATAATTCATTTCCACTGCATGCCATCCGATGAAGCGTGCTGCAGCTCATGAAAGCTGATGCTCAGATAAATGGGTTCGTCTCTAAGGTGCCAGAACTCCTCCTGTTCTTTTTGCGGATACCGACTAACACGGCTGCTACTCTGAGACCAATGGCTAGAAGTAACTTCTCCAAAAACCACAACTGCCGCGTGGTGAGAAAACTGGGCGTCAGGGGTGCTTGTGGCCAAGTGGTCAAGCCTCCCTGTTAAAAAATCCATTCAGGTCTGCTGACACAGGTTTGAATCCTGCTGACGATGGAGCAGCCATGTTATTGTTGCTGTGGTTTAGTGTCTGACCATCCGCGACCCCTGCGCCGGACCTGGGTCTAATCTCCCCTCTTAGATCCCGGGGAGGGTTTCGGCATGTGCTAGGAAGGGTGAGAGGAAAACAGCCACCACAGACACAGAGCTTGAAGTCCCCAAGTCTAATCTTTCCGAAAGCTACGGAAGTCTCCAATCTTACTAGGACGGGCAAAAATCAGGTGACAGTAACGGAGGGCTTTGTCTGCACCCTGCAGCTTTCAGCAGCAAGCCTGTGTGGACACACACGTCCAGCCCCGCGAGCGGCCTTAGCTCTGTGGGCAGGAGAGCGCTCCTGCGTTCACACTGCCACTGGCGTCGGCAAAACTTTTGTCTTTCGCCCCGGGGCGGGGGGCTTTATAAAGCACCCGTGAAAGACAAAAGTGTGGTCGACAACTTCGCAGTGTAGACAAGCTCTTATCTGGCTTGATCAGAGCAGGTTTCGGGGGTTGTTTAGCCTTTGAAAAATGCAAAAAGAAAAGGAGGACTTGTGGCACCTTAGAGACCAACCAATTTATTTGAGCATGAGCTTTCGTGGGCTACAGCCCACTTCATCGGATGCATCCCATGAAGTGAGCTGTAGCTCTATGGAATCTATGGAGATTCCTCTCCCCTGGGCCTCTTGGGATGATGGTGGATGACGATGGAGAAGGAGGGAACCCCTGCGTCCTGGAGGGACTGAATGCTTCGAGAGCTGAGCTGCAGGTGATTTTCACGCTCCCTTGAGGGGACAGGACGCAAGCTCAACGGGTTTGGGATGCTGCTGCTGATGGAGAGAAAAAATGCTGGAGTAAACGAAAGCTGAGACCCAATGAGGGGCAGGTGAATGGCAGCTCCACGCAGGGCCACGGCGCTCAGACACCCCAGGTCTAGGCACCCTGGGCTGGGCTAGACAGAGAGCAAAGGCAAACGGGGACCCTGTCCCCTGCAATGTCCCTCTTCTGGGAGAAAGCCCCAGGGATAAGGAGGAGCTGGGTCGGGAGAGGTGTGGAGGGTCCCGGAGACATAGGGGAGCTCAAGTCCCTCAGAGTTAGGGGAACTAGGCAACGAAGAACGAAAGGGCTTCACGCCCTGCCCAGCTGGGGCTGAAGGAATCAGCATCTACTGGGGGTTGAGGGATTGACCAAGGAACCTGGAGAACATTTCAATCTTGATCTTTTTTTTTTGTTGTTGGGTTTGGTTTTGTTTGCGGGTATCTCCCAGGGAGATAACATGTCTTTGAAAGATGCTAAAGCTTTAAACAGAAATGAATGAAAGAAAACAGCCACTCGCTGGCACCAGAAGCTAAGGAACGAAAAGCCCCGTGATTCCTCTGTGTTCCTGGGCTCTGAAAAGGGATTTGGATCCACTCACTTTATTGCTGTGGCCAGTAACATATCCGGACAAAACCATTTCCTTGTCATCCACTCCCAGCTTCTGGCAGCTAGAGGCTTAACCCACTCAGAGCATGGGGTTGCATCCCTGACAGCCATTGACGGACCTATTCCGTCTGAAATTACCTAGTTGTTTTCTGAACCCAGTTATAGTTTTGGCCTTCACAACATCGACCAGCAAGGAGTTCCACAGGTTGAGTGTGCATTTTGTGAATTTAGTTTCCCATAAAGTCTCATGTTCTCCAGTTGAGTGGTGATGAACTGGGTCACATCCCCCCTGAATTGTGCAGATTATAGAATCTCTGACTTTTCCTAAATGCTGTGGGGCAAGTTCCTGAGAAAGTGCAGGAGGGGAATGGCAGAGAGAGTGAAGGAGAGAAATGCAGGGGGAGAAAGAGACTGGGAGCACAAAGAAACACTCAGTGGCTGAAGCCAAGAGGTTGTCCCAGCTCAATCCTGCTCATCACAGGTGTTCAGCGAGAGGGGCAGTAGCAGGTTTCCTATGGCGTTGATGCCTGACCCATTTGCATTTTGACTGCCAGTTGATCCTGACTGATGAGCTGAGGGTAGTCGGGTTCTTGCCCCAGACTCAGGCTACACAGAACTAAAACCAATGTGTTTGCGATCTTGTTGGGAACCTCCAGGGCTACGGCGAGGATGCTCACACTGAGGGCAAAGCACAGCCATCGTGATTTTTATTCGAATCAGTAAAAGAGACAGAAAAGCTGCAAACCCCAGGCCCAGACAGCAAGAATCCAGGATTGGGGATATCGGGAGTGTCATTCTTTGCATGTGAACTTGGACTTACACACTCACAGCCTTCCTTGAGGACCTGGTGGTGAGAGACAGAGGACCAGCCCTGTCTCTGGCCTGCCCAGTGAGACCAACGGTCCAGGTTCCTCAGTGCCCAAGATTGATGGTAGATAACAACAGAGCTGAAGGGATGGAGGATGCAAAGCAAAGGCCTTCAACACGGTGCTTTGCCCTGTTATAGGACCTGAACCCTGCCATGAATATTCATTCATGATCTGCCCATCATGCACGGGCAGGAGGCAAACCCCTCCGCCTGCTGGAATTAGGACAAGGAGACCCAGATGCAGGTCCCCACGGTTTCTGCATACGCAGAGCCCTGTAAATCCGCGGCTCTCTGGGGCGGTGGGGCAGGAAGTCTCGGGGGAGAAGTGGAGGACGGTGGGTGGTCAGGCACGGCCCTGCGTCACGGGTGCATGGTGGAGCTGTTCGCGCAGCGTTGCAAATCTGTGGACAAAGTTTGCGGACGGGATGCGGTTGTATCCGCGCAGGGCTCTGAACCATTCCTACGGCTCCCTCTCTAGTCCGGTTCCCTGCATCCCCCACACCCCGTGTCTTTAATCAGCTGCTGGAATTTAGGACGTAAATTCTCTGATAATTGTGTTGAGAATGGGACTATCGCACGACGTGGCTGAAATTAAGCCAGTTCCAGCCAAGGGGAAAAGTACACCGTTGCGTTGGCCGGGAATCGAACCCGGGGCAACTGCTTGGAAGGCAGCTACGCTCACCGCTATACCCCCAATGCAGCTGGGGAGAAGCATCCTCCGAGGGGCCACTTGTGCAAGCGAAAGGACTCACTCCTGCACAGCTAAGGAGCAGGATGAATGGGAAGGAGGCAACCTGTCAGCTCTGAGCAGAGACAGGTTCCCAGAGTGGCTGAAAGATGGGGAGGGAGCTGCTACGTCCCTGGGCCAGGGGTCACCCACCCCTCCCCTCGGAGAAGGGAAATGAAGATAAATCACCAGAATGACGAACCTCAGCGGAGACAGCTCCCTTTAAAGGAAAAGTGCGATCGACGCTCCCTTCTCGACTGTCAGTGCCGGCCTCATTTCGGTGTCCCTGCGCCGGAGGGCTGGGGCGAGCTCGGCACACGGAGCCAGGAATGTGGCCTTGTGCATCCAAAATCTCTGCAGCCCCTGGTCCTCAACCCACACCTGCGCTACGATGCGATCCCACCAGCGGGTGCTTGTTGCTCGGGCCCACAACCGGAGCGTCGCCATCTGCAGCTGCTCCGTGACAGGTACGAGGCTGGGCCAAGATTCACTCAGGGGCTGAGGTTCCTATTTTTGCGGATCTGGGCCTCCCGCACCCTAAAGGCTCGGGAGCAAAATAGCACCTAAAAAGAGCCCAGTATCATTTTTTCTTTCTTTTTTTTAATTTCATGACTTGAGGGTGCGTTTTGAATTCATGAGTTTTGAACTCTTGTGGTCACCACGCAATCTTGCGATGGTAGATGTGTGTCCATTAGGCTGTGAAGGCCAAAACTATAACTGGGTTCAAAAAAGAATTAAATAAGTTCTAAGGATCGGTCCATCAATGGTAATGAGCCAGGATGATCCGGGATGCAACCCCGTGATTTGGGTGTCCCTAAGCTCTGACTCCCAGAAGCTGGGGAGTGGATCCCAGGGGATGGATCACTTGATGATTCCCTGTTCTGTTCCTTCCCTCCGAAGCACCTGGCCCTGGCCACTCTTGGAAGCCAGGACGCTGGGCTAGCTGGACCCTTGGTCTGATGCAGTACGGCCGATCTTCTGCTCAGTAGGAATCACAGTGTATTTTTGCCTTTGAGAAGGATTTAATAGGAGATCGTACACGGGCCTTAGTGAATATTTGGGAACCAAGTCCCACACACAAGCAGTGACGTGGAAAAGCAGGAAGGGCTGGATTGAAAGGCAAAGTAACAGCCGGGAGAGGCAGCCCGCATTGGTGCAGCAAATGCAAATGAAATTTTGACACCAGGCCAGGAAATGAGTCAGAGGGGAAGTGACATGATCCAACAGACTCAACGTGTGCCATAAAAATAAGAATTAAAATGTAGAATGAAAAATTCCGAATTCAAAAATCACAATGAGAACGCAGGCCGTGCTATATTAGAAACACAGAGGTCACGGCCAAAACGTCGAGCCGCTATTTTCTTACGCGTCTTTGCTAGTCCAATACAAGTGTAGACAGCCCAGCGACACCCCGCGGCAGGGCGCTGGCCAAGGCTCATGGATGAGGTGCCGAGAGTCCTGCAAACAACATTTGACAAAGTGAACAGAAGGAGTCAAAGTATCTTAGTGCCCGGGGAGGGGGTCAGGGAACCCCAGCAGCGGGCTGGGGTGGGGGCAGGTGTGTGACCGGCTGGGAGACTTCATGCAGACACCTCACCCCACAAAAGGGGCCACCCCGGTGTGTGACCCAGGGGTTTGGGGTGATCCGGCGGACAGGGAGGGGCAGCCAGTGTCCGGGCATTGGGGTGCCCTGGGGCCTTTCAGGACCCAGCCCTGGGAAGCGGGTGCTAAGAAGCCCCGTCCTCTGAGAGGGGAAATAACCCCCCCGGCTGTTTGCAAACGCGGCCGCCCGGGCGGGTGTTTGCAGGAGACCCGGGAAGGGGCTGGAGCAGCTGGGGTCGGAGGCAGGAAAATCCTGCGGCAGCTCCGGGCTGGGCAATGCAAGGTGCTGCTCCCCCCATGGGGTCTGTGCTGGGGGGTCATTAACCCCTCCCTGCCCGGCTGGGGGGGACGTTCCCCAGCTGGGACCAGCCCCCTGGGCAGCCCCGAGCCGAAGCCTGCAGGTAATTAACCAAGGGCCGGGGGGGGAGAAGCCTCTGCACAAGGGGGCCCCGGTCCCCCCGCCCCTGGGAACCGGCCCCCGGGTTGTTCCCGCACCTGGGGCGGGCCCCGAGCTGCGTTCACACCAGTGACCCTGCTGCCCCCCACCCGCCCCCGGCTCCAGCCAGGGGCTGCCCCAGAGGCACGGGGGGGGGGGTCAGATGGGGCAAGAGACTGGGCCCCAGTGAGGTTCCCCTTCGTGTGTCTGGTGGTGCAGGGGCCGGGAAGGGAGGGATGAGAAATGAGCCAGGGAGGGAGGGGACAGACCGTGTGAACTGGGGGGCATGGACCTGGCTCTGGACAGGCCGGAGATGGGGGGGCAGGGGGGTTTCTCTCTGGGTTTGTCACTTCAGTCTCAAAGACTGATTCATTTCCCCTGAATTCTTCCCCTTTCCCCTCCAATTATAAAATATGGGGATAAAATCCATGTCGATCCCGCCCCGCCCTTTTCTCTCCAGTGATTGTCCCTGTCTCAGTCGTCCTCCGATTTTGCCCCATTTTCTAATTCCCAAAGGTCACAGTTTAAAGTCTCAGTTGTGAGCTATTTCCCCACCCATTTTATCTGCAGCCAATTGTCCTTGTTCAGGTGGGAAATCGTCGCCCCGAGTCATTCCCCCGAACTGGAAGGGGGGTTAGTGGGAGCAGCTTAGGGGAGCCTGGAGACGCGGCTGGCTCTGGGGTGGGACGGGGCGGCCGGTCTCTGCCAGCAACAGGGCATGGGAGGGACACGGGGGGGAAGGGAGAAGTGATTTTTTTCAGTGGCGTAACCAGGCCCAGCTGCCGCCCCCCCACCCCCACCCCCCAGCTGCCCAGTGCAGCTCCCCACAGCCACCAGCTGCCTGTCCCCTGCCCCTCCCATCCTGCTGCCCCCTCCCCTGGGAATGGCGGAGGTGATGGGGGGGGACCGTTACTTTCTGGAGGTTTATTGTACAATCCGATACAATCCTTTCCCCGCTAATGACTGAATTTCCCTCCGATCGTGGTGTTTTTGTCTTATCTAAAACCCCTCGCGTTTTTTAGCTTTCCTTCCAAATATGTGACCACTGAGCCCAAACACCTCCGATTTCCACCCTTCTCTGTCAGGACTGGACATGAATACCAAATCTCGGATTTTGCTTTTTTCTATGTAATTATGAAATATGAATTAAAAGTCCCCTTCATGTCTGGGCGTGTGTCCCCCGGTTTATTTGCCATAACTTCTCCTTTGATTGGGGGGAACCTGTTGCCCTGAGTCATTCTCTATATTGGAAATTGCCAGGGGGATAAATTCCCCCATAATCACCTTTCCCCTCATATGAGAATCATTTGTTTCCCCTCTGTCTCAGCTAAAATGTTTACTGATGAAAGTGGCTGGCCCCATATTTGCTACACACCAAAGCTAGGGGCTGCCCCGTGTTAAGGGGAACGGTGTCTCCTAGCGGCTAACGGGAAGTCGGCTGGACCCTTTCCCCCAGATGCCGTGGGATGAGGGTTCACTCCCCTCCGTGGGCAAACAACTCAGTTTGTTTTAAGAGACAGCTGGACACATTTCCGAGGGTGACGCATGATTGGAATTGCTTGTGACCGTGGGGGCAGGGCTCGGCAGCCCCCCGGCTCCCTTCCAGTTCATGTCTGGTGTCCCTAAAAGCTCCCGCTTTCAGAGCTTTATCGGCCAGCTGCGGGGTCAGGAACACGCACACAGTAGTTTGTGGGCGGTTTATTTTTCATCTCTTTCCACTGAAGCGTCCAATTCGGCCATGGCTGGAGACGGGACACTGGACAGGGAGGGCCAGTGCCCTGACGTGGCTCCGAGCTTTCTCTCTCTCAGGCTGGCTGGTTCTTGCTCACATGCTCCGGGTGTAAAGGGTTTGCCATCTGTGGGGTCGGGAAGACATTTCCCCCCGGGTGAGATTGGACCTTGGTGGAGGGGGGAGGTCACCTGGGTCTGCAGCATGGCGTCTGGGTCACTTGCCAGCATTGTCTGTCTGCATCTCTCTCACTTAACCCTTTCCCTGCCCCTGCAGGTGCCCCAGCATCGTCTCGTCTCCCTCGGGCTGTTGCCCTTGGGTCTAATTTTTGGCTGTTGGGTTTAATGTGCGGGTGCTGGGCGGTGTTGGCTGTGTAGCCTCGTTTGATTGACGGGAATAACGAACTGGCATTTCAAACAGCAGTGATTTGCGCTAAGGATTTGGCCTCCCCATTGGGGCAGGGTGAAAACCACTGCTGGGCATATCACTAGCTGGAGGGACACGAGGAACCACTCGTAGAGGGGATACAATCACAGGTTATCCCGCGCCTGTTTGCTCGTCATTTCCCCGAGCAGATAAAGAAAGGCCAAAGCGTAGGAACGTAACAGAAGATGGAGGGAAAGTACGTAACGTCCAGCATCGATAGGTTCCCACTCACATCCCCTTGGGGAACGCTGGCATAGGAAGGGGATCGTCAGGTGGTCGTCTGTTGGACGTTCCCCGACGTGTCATCCTCCACCCCCCCCCGCCACGCACAAGCTGGGTGTTTACGCCCACTAAGGCTGATACATGTGTGTACGGGCATCACCCCCTTTTCCTTATCGGTATTTCCACACCCCACTGAATGTGGGGTGCCCGTTTTCCATAGGCAAATTCTTTAGTTCCTCTTACCCTCGTTAACATTGACATCAATCAGTTACTAAGGTAACTTGTGGCTATTTTAGGATTCCCCAAAATATTCGTGACTGTGATTGCGGTGTTAACGGGTGGGCTGCGGCAGACTTTCCTAAGCGTCAGCAATTAACACATTTTTGCTGTAACACTGCAATGTGCGGGGGGCAGGGTCATGCCTTGGGTAATGGATCATGTCAACGTATCTTGGGCCTAAGGCCTTGTCTGGCTAAGCTCCGGATCTTACAGGCCTTAAGCCGGCAGGCCTGTCTTTACAGCCTTATCTTACCCGTACTCCAAATTCACACTCATCTGTGATACGGACCTGTCCGTCCACACCCCTGGAGTGCCTCCCTGCTTACCTTTTACCAAGTCACATCTACATAGTCAAGCTATTAGCTACAGTCCTGTGAGATACAGGAAACCAGACCAGATGATCTGGTCCTTTCTGGCCTTGGTCTCGGTGATTATGACCAGAACTATCCCCAAACCCTGCGACGAATGGCCTCCATGAGCGGGTCCTTCCCCCCAGCGCTGAGATGCAGCCACCTCTGGGGTGGATCAGTGGCCATTGCCTGCCAGTGACAGGGCCTGGAAATTTCTTAACTATTTGGTTGTCTTTGTGCCCTGCATTCAACTGTTCAAGAAGCATCCCCAGGGCTCCCTCTGCCGGTGTGGGTGGCCGGCAGGGGCCGGCGGTAACTTTCTATCTATCTGTCAAACAGTGATAGGAAATCCCCCCAGGTTTTGCTTCTCTCCCCCCTTCACGGCTGCAGGAAGCTTGGGCTGTGGGGGGGAAACTGTTTCCC